GAAATGAAAATCATAATTTTACTTTTGAAGAATATAAAAATAAAAAAGTGAAAACGTCAATAAATGAGCCCTTAATATGTAAACATTATCTTTCTTTTATTGGTAAAATGGAGTAAAAACAAACACAAAAGCATGGTGACAATATAGCAAAGGGAAATTGCCTCACCGAACCACCTTCCCCTAGATTTACTTTTTAAGAGATATTTAATAATTAATTTATTTTTAATTATTACTATTGTCTAGGAAATTTTCATATTTGAGAGGCTAAAGGATGAAAAGAGATTAGGTTGCTAATGAATGTCAAAATCCTACATATTTTAGATTCACTCCTCACCTATATTATGCAACGTCAAAACTCCTAAGATTTGGCATTTTACAAGGTGCTTGTATCGAACATAAATTTTTAGTCTAAGACTCGCAGTATATTTAGAAAGTCAGAATTATATTTAATTTTGTTATTTTGGTTGTTAATATGCATATAAAGGTGCCACTAAAATGGAAGGATTTTATCAATGTCCATTAATGATAGATCAGAAGCCGAAAAAATTGAGTACTACTATCATATAACTTTGTATCGGTTAAATTTACGAATTGGAAGCTCGGTGAACGGCGACTGTTGTTATAACAGTCTTAACGCAACGAAGTTTCTTATCGGGTAAGTTTGGATCCGGACAAAAGGCGTAATGATATGGGCAAGGTCTCGAACAAATAGACATTGTTTTTTTATTAACTTGTGCATTGTTTAGTTTTATGAGAGTAGGTTTTATTTTTTATTTTATTGGGGTTAATAAGAATTCAAAAGTCAAAACCGGCAAGGTCGGGCTAGATTGGCCCATATTTTTGGGGCCCGTCTGATGGGGCCTGAGGGCTTTAACTTGTCCCTGAGTCGGTCAAAACAATTGCAAACATAGGCCCAATCCGTGAGCCTTGGAGAGACGAACCAGTGGGCCGGGCCAGCTAGTGGCTATCTTAGCGGACCAACCACAATTGGTTGGCTTCTAAACTGTGCTTCATGTTGGACTTTAAAATGTGGTATAATTGGAGTAAATTAATACTTTATTTATTTATTTATTATTATTTATCAAGGATATTGTGGTCTAAAAATGAGTGTGACATTGTGAGTGGTGTGTGTTTCTTCTTATTAATGACATTTTTTTTTTTTGAAAAGAAGCACACCTATTAGAAGAACTAAATCATCTACCAATTAGGAAACCGAAATATAACCGAGTAAATTAATACTTCAATTGAGATTATTGAGATAAAATTATGTTATGCATTATATTATTATATAAAGCTATAAAATAATTAAGTTGCAAATTGCAATACGTCATGAAGTAATTCATTACTAGCAAGAAGTCAATATCGTAGACTAATAAGTTATAAACTTATATATAATTGTATACAAAAATAAATCATAATAGTGTGAGATTAATATATATAGTATAAATATACACATTCAGTGCAACGCTGTAATAAACTAATAATATTTCACGCAAGTGAAAATATATCTATTTGAGTGCACCAGAGTCTAATAATTTGTTAGCTAATAAATTTGATACGAAATATGATTGATCGGGTCAGATAATAATCCAATATAATATAATATAATATATAATATGTTGTAAATATATTAATAATGCTATAATATATAATATTAACATATTATTAAAATACTTTTTACCATTTTTTATTTTTATTTTTATTTTTATCGACAAGAAACACATACATATCACTCACACACCCTTTGCCCCTTTCAATGAATTCTAACCGTCAACTTTGAAAAATTGAGGAGATACCACGAACTAGGACACAAAATCTTTGATATTTTTTACCGTTATTTTTGTTCTTCTTCTTTCCCCCCCCCCCCTCTCTCTCTATTGTTTTTTCTTTAATAAAAAATTGAATACCGATTTTATAATCTCTTTTTTGTTTATATTTTATTTTTCTTCTCCGATTTCTTATTTTTGCTAATCTCATTTGCCATTAAAAATTTTTATACAAAAAATATCTCTTCTTAATAAATTCGATTATCAGATCGGATATCTGATTAATGACAAATGAATATGGATTCACTTATAAATAATTCATTAGGTTATGGGAATAGATTGAATTAGCCATATCTCTTATTAGATTCAAATTTCATCAGCTCTAGGTTTAGCCGAGTATGAGTATGGGTAAGATTGCTACATTATATCAAGAATACAAATTCAAAAAATTAAAAATACTTTCTTTTAATGAAAATAAGATAATGTAAATTTGACTCTTTCAAAATTTACAATAACAAAACATCGTAAACTGAGTTAGCCCGAGAGTCCAATTAATTAAGAGAAATAAGTTTTCCTCAAGCACATGAGTTGAATCGAAGCTCTCCTAGTTCTCTAACCGAATGTTTGACCTAACCTATACCTGATGAGTACTACCAAGTCTGAGATACTAATGAATGGTCAACAACACTTAATTTGATGTGGGCTTTAATTACACAAAATATATTGTGTCATGTGTAAAACTGTAAACCCCATACCCCTCAAGCCCCCGTTTGGGATTTGAGACAGATGCTTTAGCTGGAAGCCTAAAAACCCTAACAGAAGAAAGGAAAAGATCCTATTTGAGGTAGGGTCATGTCACAAGTCCTAAGTCACAACAACAACACACACACATTACACTCCAAAATCTCTTAAATATATCCCACACATACAAACACACACTTTTAGAGAGAGAAGGGGGAAAAAAAATAAAAATTCTCTAGTAAGAGAGAGAAAACACACACACACACACACTACTGATCAGCTGGCTAGCCTTTGCTTTCTACCGCGTCTCCTTAGCCCCTGCTCCTGGGGGATCTCTCTCTCCTACTAGAATACCCACACTCTCTCTCTCTAGAAACCTCTCTCTACCCAAATCACTCTCTCTCTCTCTCTAGAAACCTTCGGCAGCGCCTTCTCGTCACCATCTTTACATTCTTGTTCCTCTGCCAGCTGAATGTGAAAGATTTCCGCCCCCTAGAAGATGCAAGCCAAAAGACTATGCGCATGATCGGTTAGATATATACATATACATATATATATATATATATATTATATTAATATATGCACAGTGCACACACAAACACAGACAAATATATATATATTGTTTGGAAATATAGCAGAAAAAAGTGAGGAGACAGACTGTGAAGAGACAGGTGAGATATATAAATATATATATAGCTGAAGAAATAGAGATAATCTTGTTTGTCTCTCTGCAAGAGTTGGGAGAAAAAAAAAGAAAAAGTTAAGGGGCTTTGAAACTGAGGCAAAAAAAGTGGGCAGTGACTTTGGAAAGTTTCAAAGGCTTTTTCCTTCACTTTCACAAGATCCAAACAAGTCATCTTCTATGCTTCAACAGTTGTGGTATAGTAAGAATACAAAAGGGGTTTGACTATCAACAAATCCAGAGGCCACGCAACGCTAACACATTTCTTATTATTATTATCATAAAAAAATCGAACTTCAAATTCCAAGAAGAATAGAATTAGAGACACCTCTAAGTCCACAACTTCTATTGGTACTTTTTTATGTTTTATATTTAATTTAGTTTCGTAACGAAGAATTAATTCATTGCTTAGTCACTCTGAATTCTGATTTACAAACTCCAAATACATGCAGTAATCACTCGCAAACCACAAACATCAGTTATATATATATATATATATATATACTAGTTTGTACTATATATATGTGTATATTATAGTATATATTTGGGTTGATTATTCCAAGAAGAACTAAGACTAACTGATCTCTCAAAAGTCCCATCTTTGCAGGTGAATGAAGTAAACTCTTTTATCTCTCGTGTGGTCTATGAAATTGAAGCAAGAGATCTGCTTGGAGGCTTTTTCTTAATTGGAAAGAGTGAGTCATAAGAGATCTCTTTAGTACTACTTCACGAGATCCAATCTGCAAACCACTGGTAAATAATCAACCTTCCTTCCCCTCTTTCTTTCTTCTCATCACCTTCTTCTCCTCTCAAAACCCTATTAATAAAAGCTCTTTATTTTCATTGTGTAGCCCCCCCTCCCTCTCTCTAGAAGTCAGAAAATATAGAGAGATATATATTCTTTATAATTATGTGATTTTTTCAGAGACTCTCATTATTACTTGATTTGTTAAATATAAGATTTCTATTTTTGTTCATATATTCAAGTATAAGATTGGTGTACATAAATACACAAACATATATATATATATATATGAGAGAGAGAGTTTTTATATAGCTGACCTCGATCCCTTCTTACAGCTCAAATCTCTTAAACTCCAGCCAAAGCCAGAGGTAGAGACTAGAGAGTGCTGGAGTACAAAATTTTGATATTGTGTTGAGTCCAAGAAAATCACAAGCCAAACAACATATATTTTCCAACGATTTCTTAAAATTGGGTGGTCATATTTTGATCAGGTCCTGCAAGGTCTCTCATTAGGGTGAGTACGTTTTATTCATTTCCATCCTTTATTTTATTTATTTATTTATTTTTTTCATTTAGTTAAGGGTTTTTATTACCTTAGGCCATCAAGTTAAGGTCTTCTTTTGTATTTTCACAAATTCCGGTCTGATCTACTTATTAATTGCTTGTTTTCAGATTTTATTGCTCCATATAGTACAAGTCTTGGTTGCTTCTCTTCTTGTTCCTCAAACTTGAAACTTTGCCATTGTTTCTCCCACTGCATATACGTTGTACATCTCTCTCTCTCTCTATATATATATATGAAGAAACACACACACACACACTAGAAAGCTTCTTGTTATAATTTTACACTTCATAACCCCCTTATGGAAATTGGGTTTTTGTTTCTTTTTATGTTCATTCCATAGAACATTAAGAGAAGTCCCCAAAAGCTTTAATTGTTACCATGCATTTTAATTATTTTTGTGTTCATCCCATATGTTATAACATAATCTATATGCCTCTTTGATCTGTTTTTCAGATCACATTAAAGAAAAGAAAAATTTTCTTGATCAATCGTAGCAACAACAATATGGCATCATCATCCAACTCGCCTTGCGCGGCATGCAAGTTCTTGCGGCGAAAATGCCAGCCGGAGTGTGTATTCGCGCCATACTTTCCCCCGGACCAGCCTCAGAAATTCGCAAACGTCCACAAGGTGTTCGGAGCAAGCAATGTCACAAAGCTCCTCAATGAGCTCCACCCCCACCAGCGCGAGGACGCCGTCAACTCTCTCGCCTACGAGGCGGACATGCGCCTCCGCGACCCTGTCTACGGCTGCGTCGGCGTCATCTCCCTCCTCCAGCACCAGCTCCGCCAGCTCCAGATGGACCTCAGCTGCGCAAAATCCGAGCTCTCCAAGTACCAGAGCCTGGGGATCACCGGCCACGGACTCATCGCGGCTGCAGCCGCCGCCACCCACCACCACCAGCAACATAATTTGGGGATCAATTTGATGGGTGGTGGCGGTGGCGGCAACCGGGAGCTCCACTACCACCACCACCAGTTTTTCCCCAGCAATCAAGCTCAGGTGATGAGGAGTACCTTCGATGCCGCCGCCAATTACGACGCCAGCAGCCTCCTCGGGATGAATGTGTCCGCCAGCATCGGGCAGCTGAGTCATTTCCAGCAACCCAGGGCGGCCGGTGGAGATGACCGGCGGACACCGGTCGATCCTTCTTAGGGTTTTTCTCTCTCTCATCAAGCACCCAAACTATCAATGATAAGTAAAATACCCAATCTTTTCACTAAGCTATTGTTGGGGTTTTGTTGTTATATTATTACTCTTATTATACTATGAGTATGAGTAAGTCTATCATGAGTGCGCAACTCTCATAGTCATCTTTTGATTCAATGGCTGAGGGTGCGAGTTCATGTTAAAACATACTCATGATACATTTTTCCTATCATTATATTATATACCTGTTGGACGACTTCAGGATGCTAGTTTTTCTTGAATTTAATTGAATTATTCAATGATCAAGACTCATTATAGAGCAATGAAAAACAACACACAAATGTTAGGTTTATCTAGTACCTTGTAACAATTTATGTTGGATCTGAAAAATCTGAAACTAGGGTTTTGAAAAGGAAAATAATTATACTACTAGGAAAGCTTAAGTTGAATTAAACTATCCCATCAGATTGCAATAAACTGGTACACAGAATTATCCACTGTTGGAATGAAACACCCCATAAATATTCCACACAAAAAATAAATGTTTGTAATAAATATTATTGATGTTATTCACTCTGAAAATTTTAATTATTTATACTAATTAAAAATTGCACACACACACACACACACACACACATATATATATAATTGGATTAATTTCTAAATTTATTTTTCGTATTATGCAGATTACAATACACTCAATTGTAACACATGCAACTCTTTTTTGAGTTTAAGATCACTCACACACACACACACACATGTATGCAACATCATTTTATTTAGAAAATGCATAATTCACTATACATATATTCATAATTAACAACTGTTATTTTCTTGGTTGGCTTGCAGATTTTGAAGGATTCAATATACCCTTCAACAGACAATTTTAGGGTTGTTAGCTTGGTGTATATATTAATTTGTCTTCTTAATTACTTTTCACATTATATTCTAATTTGGATCTCATATTGTCATTTGAATATATATATAAAAAAAAAGGGGGGGGGGGGGGGGGGGGGGGAGGACTTGCCAAAGCTGTACTTACTCTTCCCGTCTCACAGTAACACTAATAGTTTGTAGGGCCCTCCTCCTAAAATATGTGTCCCACACACAGTTTAGTTTTGTTCTTATCCATTTGATTTTTCCTATTTCCACAGTTTTAGACAGATAACAAAGAAAAAAGAATAATAGAATGAATGAATAACTAAATATTCCATCCATCATCACTTATATATATATATATATATATATATATATATATCTTTGCCACAATTCTTAGAGCTTGTGATGAGATGATCATTTTGCATAAGAAATTTCAACATCAAAGTAATATTTTAATTGGAAAATGTTTCTCTTAATTTCGAATTCGAAATATGTATTATTGCTCAATTTAAATTGTCACTCTGAAATTATCTAATATTTTCTTTTGTTAGATAAGACGATTAAATTTCATTTAGAGTTGCAAAAGATTCTACTTGAAAATAGAGGGCTAAATTCACATAAAATAAGTTATAAATTTTTTTATAAAAATATGTTTTGTTGTAGTTTCCTGAAAGTCGTTTAAAAAAAAAAAATCATAACACTACACAAAAATCTGTAATTATTATTTTTTTTCCTTAGCAAGAAAAATCAGTCACACACACTTCACTCCTTTCTATTCTTGCCTTCTCTTATTGTATTGTTAAGTTTGTGAATGAGCAGCCCGAAAACCTTTCATCTCGCTCTTTCATGGATTGACGGGACCCTTCCATGCCAAACCTATAAGGGGACTAGGTCGTGGAGAAGTCTCGACCTTCTACTTTGGAAGACTAGAAAGTACCACTAAGTTACATCCATTGGTTAAAAAGAGTTAATTTTCAGTAACCAATCTTTTATAATTATCAAAAAAATAAGAACTGATTTAAGAAAATCGAACTAATTAAACAAACTCATACTTTAAAACAGTTTTCTGTATTTTGAATTCTCAAAATACTTTTTATTTTAAAATTATTAAAAATTGTATTTTAAAATCAGAACCAAACAGTCCCTCTCATTCTATCTTTAGAACACATGAATATTTATGTGTTACAATACACATCTATGCAAGTACATGCAATCTCAACATTCAAAATGGGGACAATTATTTGATTACGGATAGATGAACCATATACTAAAAGTCCAACAAACATCAAATAACACGCTACAAAAGGTATGCCAATAATACCAATAATCGCAACACATTGTGCCTCCATATAGTACCAATATTCATTCCACTTTAGGGCACATGACTAGTACATACATAGTTGCTTATTTTTTGGGATTTTTTTCCGAAAGGTTTTTGGTTGGAAAATTTGAAACATGTATCTATCCAATCAATTCGTACATGCAAACTCCTAGGGAGTATTTAATAAAATCACTTTTGGAATCATATATATATATATATATATATATATATATATAAAAGAGTATTCCGTGCAAATATTGAGGTAAAATTTTAGAGATGAATTATTAAACACAATTAATTTGATAAGTATTTAATTTGTTCATAATTAAGTATTGAATTTATTATCAGTCAAACATCACCTTAGTCTTCAACTCCGGAGTCTTTTTTTGAATTGACACAATGTGACAATACATGTTTAGGTTATTTCTGACACGAACAAGATATGTTTAGTTAAACCGGTTATTTGTAATATGAACACGATATGATGTTTATATAACAAGTTTAGTTAAATGAGTTATAAACAGGTTATTTGTAATATGAACATGATATGATGTTTATGTAACATGTTTAGTTAAATGAATTAAAAATAGATTTATAGGTCAAACACGAATTTAACTACCATATTAATTTGGATCGACATAATACTATTCCCGAACACAATTAGATTAAACCAAATTCACATATTTGTATTTAAGTCACGTTAACACATCGTATCATCCATTAGTGTATTAAATTCTCAATTTAATAGTAGAGTATTGCATCAACTAGTCAACCCTCAATCCGCCAACATGTGTTTGTGTTGTGTGTGTGACTAGGGAGAGGCTCATACAATGCTCTAAAGCTTTGCCTATACGACATAATATTTTACAGAATTTGATTGAAGTTGAACGGAGAAATTAATTGAGGTCCTAACAACAAGACATACATACACAAGTGTCTTTAAAATTCAATGATTTAGCTGACTTTAATTTAGATACTGCAATGCTTAATGCATTTCCAAAACAGAACATGGAGACAATTCAACAGACAAAATAAATTGGAGATCAAAGAAGCAAATGAAATGAAAACTGAATTAAATTCAAGCAAACAACCCCCAAGTCTCCCTCCTCCCTCTCTGCTACAAGCCGTTGCAGCAGAGAAAATATAAGAGAGAGAGTCTAGAGAGAGAAAGATAGAGAGAGAGCAGCATTTACTGCTCCTACTGTGAACCACATTGAAAACCCAGTTGGAGAGAAGGGGATATATTGAGGTGAAAACTGATTCAAAACACTAGTCAAAAAACATTGCATGACAATGATTACGTACTAGAGCAATGATGGCTTTTTCTTTAAATGCATTGACAGTCCTTTTTTTTCTCTCTCTTATTTCATCAGGAGTGAGTACAGCTTACTCGCTGACCCATCATCCGTCGCATGCGTTTCTCTACCTTCTGCCCGAGTGTGTCATATTACTCCGTGTGTGTGTCACTGTGTGTACACACACATAGTATATAGCTTGGTTCCACTTGCGTTTGAGTCAAATTGTAGTGTTGCCTAATGCTAATAGCATCAACTACTAATAAGCATTGACTATGGTTAAAATATGTATTCAATGATTCATTTAACTTTTTAAACCAGTTTTAATTAAATAATTAAATATAAAGAGTTCCTTTATCAATAGTTAAATCAGTTTAATTCAATAATTAAATATAAAGAGTTCCTTTATTCTCTTGATATCATTAAGGGTAAAATAGTTAGGGTAGAAAAATGCTAAATTCTGAAAGCAATACTTTTTATACAAATAATATGAATTTTTGTTTTGTTTTTTTAAAGGTTACGTTTATACTTGCTATTTAAAACATTCCTTTGAACTCTGTTGATGAGATTATTCTGTAGAGGAGATCATTCTTACAGTAGGACCCATTTATCATATTGGAGGTTGAAGATTTATGGGGCTCCTGACAATCAGTGCTGTTCAATTTTTTTTTTTTTTTTTTTTTGATTTAAAATAAATGTATGATTTAATTAACTTTCAAGAAATAAATAAATAATAAACCAAATAGCGCGACAAACTAAATTTTGTTCGGTAAGATTAAAAATTAAGTGCTGAATTTTAAATGTTAACAATCATTTGAGATTTTATTTAGTTATTTATTTATTTTTATTTTTGTAATTTAGACCAATCTCATGCTGCACCACCATTTACAAGTGCATATCCACACTCCTTGCAAATAAACTCAAACATATCCTTCCCCATATTGTTGGTCCTGCTCAGTCAGCTTTTGTTTAGGGTAGAATTATTGATGAGAACATCCTTTTGGCCCAAGAACTTCTTAATGGTTATCACAGAAATGCTTCTTCCCCAAGATGTGCCATCGAAATTGACATTAAGAAAGCCTTTGATTCTGTTTGCTGGGATTTTCTTTTTGACACCATGAAGCTATTTGGATTTCCTGAAACTTACATGAAATAGATTCATGCCTGTGTTTCTACTCCCTCATTCACCATCTCAGTCAATGGAGAATTTAATGGTTACTTCCAAAGCATCAAGGGCCTTAGGCAAGGGGATCCACTATCCCCATTTCTTTTTGTGCTTCTTATGCAGGTTTTCTCATCAATTATGGACAAAGTCACATCTGAAAGGCTTTTAAATTCCATTGGAGGTGCAAGGAACTGCGCCTCTCTCACTTGATTTTTGCAAATGACTTATTCCTATTCTCTCATGGTAGCATCCCTTCACTTCAAACCATTAAGCTCGCAATTGATATCTTCTCAAACTTCTCTGGTCTTCACATCAACCATTGCAAAAGTCATGTGAGAAAGGGGAGCTCCCTGTAAGGTACTTAGGAGTTCCATTGGTAACAACCATGCTTCGAGCCAATGATTGCAGAGCCCTTATTGACAAGATCACTGTAAGGATAGGCCACTGGACCAGCAAAAATCTTTCCTTTGCAGGAAGA